TTTGTTTTAATGTTTATAAGAATTTCGATGTTCTTATGAATGTTTTGAATTATTTGATTTTAGTTAGTTTGTCCGGCACAACAGTCAGTTAAATTAAAGTTATAAAGGAATAAGGTATTAAAACACAACAAAAAATTTTCAGACATAACAATAGGATGTCCAGAGATCATGTAATTTAACAATGTTTTCTTCAGAAGAAAATTGCCATCAGGAGCCTGGATACGTGGAACTTGCTGGAATTCGTGCATCTGAATGACTTTTAAAATTAAAACTGCAGCAAATCTGATGAGTTTCATGCTAAAATATTCTTGTTAAAATGGACAGCAGATAATTGGCTTGTTAACAGGGCTATGGAGTGGTAGGGAAAAGGACAGACTCCCTCTTATATATATAAACGTATACATACACAATGGGTTATAGCTTATTTTTTTAATATAAAAGAAGTAATAAATGCTACAGGGAAAAAAAATTGATGGCATAGCAAATTATATCAATTAGCATTTAATATGAAGTGGGAAAACTGGCATTAGTAATTTATAAGAAACAATATAGCTTCGGCAAGATTTTTGTTAGAGGAGTATAGATCTGATTTGATAAATTTTAAAAGTCTTTCCATACTGACTTAGTAGGAGGAAGAGCTGTTACTGTTAGGGCTACTTTAACATTTCAAGATATATTTTTATAAGTGCTAAAATAGGTGTCTTGCAACAGCAATCATATTTCTCTATTTCTTCAAAGGGCATGTAGAAATCTTGTTTGTATTTTTTCATTTTTATATCTGTAAGCTTTCGGGTCTTTAGTTTTACTCGCCTTTTCAATATGATCCAAATATTTCTCAGAATCTAATTCATCATTGAAAGAGGATGATAGAGAATCAGTTGCAATGTCTGCAGTTTTACTTTCCTGATTTGAATACTCCAGTTGTTCTAAGAATAATTTCATTCTTAATGAAAGTTCATAGATGGCTTTCTTTGCCTTTTAATTTGTTCATCATCCAACAAAATGTGGTTTTTTGGATCTACATATATTGAACCCATCAAGATCTCAATTGTCTAGCAAATTAGTTTCTCTTTTCTTCATTGAAGAAATTATTTCTTTTGCAATAAACCCTCCATTTCAGAAAGAACAAGCATCATATTCTTCTATTCTAGTGTGCATCTTTCTGCCGGTTTAAGTGCTCTCAAGGATTTAGTTTAATTTTTCAGGTGCCTTCTTGACCACAAAGCATGGACTTATTGATAGTGAAGTGAATTTCATAATAACCGCGTAGTTTCTGTTCAGTGATATGTTTTTCACGTATTGAATGCCAGTATTTAAAGATCAGGTAAAATATTTACTGTGTCTTTAATAGTGTAATATTCTTTAAAGGAAAAACCCTTGGTGTTAATGAATGATCAACTAAGTGTAATTTTTTGATAATGATTATGTTACCTCTTTAAGTTTCTGATTGATTAAATTTATTCATTGTGTTTTTATTATTTATATATATTGTTAATAAATTGGTTAAGTTTAAAACTTTTGTCTTCAATGTCTGCACAGTATATAACCGTAGGGAGCTTCTATTGCTACTTCTGCTAAATGTTTTTTACAACTTTAAACTTTGCTTTTGCATCAGTATACTCCTTTAGGACTAAATACACTGCATACAATTTTTTTTTTTTTTTTTTTTTTTTGAAATTCCGATGTTAACGTATAGTGCGCCGCAAAGCGTTAAGCGTAACTTGGGGGGGAAATTCATGTAAATTAATAAAACTTGCTGTTCAGTTGTTCCAGTTTTTGGTGCATTATGAAAGGTGCTCTTGAATAATTATCAGAGTTAATTTTAAAACTTTTTCATATTTTTCTTTAAATTTATAAAATAATCATTTCTAGAGTAGTAGAGTTTTTGTCTTACCTCAAATAAATATATAGGGCAGAAATAAAAATTATTGAAAACCTCTTTCATAAAAAACCAATAAGTCTAACTTTTAATGGTGCAATTCTGTTTTAGGGACAGTAAAAAACTACAGCGAAAATATATGCGCAAAAGCACCAAATCTAGCAAGCATAACAATTTCAATGGGCATAAATATAGATAGTTCTATGTTTGTAAGTCGCCATTGAAATACTAGTTTAATTTTTTAATTCTTTTTTTTATAAAACTATGGATCCAACAATTTGAGAATTGTCCAATGACGTAAAGTCTGCAATAAGATTTTTTTCAAAGAAAAGGCATCGTTCATGATAGAAAATTATATTTGAACAACCAGGAGTTGAAATTATGCTTTAGATGTAACTCAGTAGCGAAATGGCGGTGCATGAAAGAAATCTGTAATGAGAAGAAGGATTAAGAAAGCAAAAAGGTTTGAAGAATCGAAAATCCCCTTCCTTACAGCCATTAGGTTCATCTATTTTTGTTGTCAGGAGATGACATCTATTGAACCTTAGGAATTCCAGCTGAAATTGAACCGCAGTATAATTGTAGACTAGAACAGTTACAGTTTGCCACAAATTTAATTGCTCGCCTTAAGTTGAAAATCAGCGGATGTGGCAAAATTGTTGAAGCAGATGAAAGTTTTTTCTGTAGAAGAAAAAATAATGTTTGGACATATTCTCCTGCCACAGTGAATTTTTGGCAGATTGTGCAGAGAATCAAATAAATGTTTCTTAGATGCTGTTCCAGATTCATCAGTGGAAGCCTTATTGAATGACATAAAGGAAAATATTATAGAAGGAAAGATTACATATACTGACTAGAAAGTCAAGTGAACTATGAAGCTCAGGCTTTGAATATTTTACAATCAACCACAACTATAATTGTGTGGACTTCAAAAGTGGGTATCATACACAAACAATAGAGCCATTGTGGGGCAATGCTAAATGGCATAATAAATGCCTTCAGGGCACTGCTCGACAGCATTTCGTTTCTTATTTGTCAGAGTTTATGTACAGCCATTTGCACAAAAAGACTGAAATTTGTCTGCAGTGTTAGAGGACATAAAAAATGTTATGCCTCCCATTTAATTCCAATTATGTTAAGCCTTTTATTTTATGAATTAAAATAATAAAAAAATGTATTAAATGAAATTAACTTTCATCAAATTAAATTAATAATCTTAGATAGTTAATTACTATTATGCTTTCTTTCAGTTATGTTCAGGCATTGGTTTATAAATTATCATAATAAAAAAGTATTATATGAAATTAACCTTTCACCTAAATTAAAATTATAATCTGAGATTGTTATTTACTATTATGCTTCTATTCAGTTATGTTTAGCCCTTTCTTATATAAGTTTTGATAATAAAAATATGTGTTGTATGAAATTAACACTTCGTCTGAAATAAAATAATAATAATCTTAGTTATTTACTATTATGCTTTCTTTCTTGCATTAGGGTTATCATAATTATTTTTGGTATCAACAATAATTTGGCGATTTTTACACTGCCTATAATGGAATTGTACCCTTTTAACTTACCTCAATTAAATACGTCTGTATATGCTTTAACTATTAGTTCTCAGTTCTGCAAAAATATCATCACTGTCATCAGTGTGAGAAGACTCATTTATTATTTGCATGTGCTCTTTTGTTAAATACTGTTTTCGCTAAATAAAACCCGCGTTTGTTTACCGCAAACCTACTCACCCACATTTTATATCAAATGACCCAATTAAAGAGCCTTTACATCGCTAAACACCCACAAAAAGTCATATGAGATATGCCCGGCTACAGAGTGAGTTTAAACAGTGATTCATGAATAACACACCTAGCTGTGAGATAATGTTTGTTGTCGATGCACATGACATGCCCATCCTGAACAGGTTAAATAGCTTAGTATCTTTGAGGATGTGTCAAAGAATGGATATATGATAAATTCCAGCAAGTCCATCATTATTGACAAGAATAAAACTAATAAGTCTACTGCTGATATTCTTGTCATTGCACTTGATCTAAACTCGCTGTGCTTTAGAAACAAAAAATGTTAATATTAAGTATGATGAACATGTTGTTAATATAAATAATAATAAATTATACTTCATTTAAACACCTTAACATAAGATTATTAAATTATGGCAGAACGATGAAGGTTATTATTTGTATAGATTTTTGTTGAAACTAAGGATTTAAATTTCTGTTTTCTGTAAATTTATCAAAATACTACTATTTCATCAGCAGATTTTGAATGATTATGGAGTGTTGACCATTAATTGTATTTGAAGTAAACTATCCATATGTACTAAAATTTCAACAAAGTTAATTAATGAATTACTTATTATTGGGAGATCTGCTTCAAATTTAAACATTTTATGTAGGATTTGTTTATTCCAAAGACTTCTACATAACATGAAAAATCTAATCTATTATTATTTATATTAAGTTGAAAACTCTGCTTTGCTTTTTCCAAGTAAAAAAAATTTTAGAGAGAAATATGGTAATATAAAATTTTTAATTGGGCTAAAACACAAACTTAGTTGGGGAAATTTTAAATAATTTTTTTTTTTTTTTTTTTTTCCCCCCCAAATTATCCCATGGTCAAATAATGGGATCTGTCTTCTTCTAAAGCTAAATTGCATAAGAAAAAAAAAAAAATTTGCTCTTGAGGTAGAAATTTGGCTGATTGCACTCAAAATCTATATGCCAAACTAAGTTTGCTGTGTTGCTTTTGAAGTTAGTCAAACATGAGTCTTATCTCCTTTGAGAGCAAAACAAAGGCAAAATGTTTTTGCTCTTGAAGAAAAACAAGACTTCTCTCGAATCACCCTCAAAAATCAATAGTTTTCTTTAAAATCTGCACCAATTAAAAATTCTTTAGCTTTCTCTACTTCTGTATCACTGTGAATGAATAAGATTGTATATGTGCAATTATAGTAATTTGTTTTAAGGATAATACGTATTAAAAAGGCTGCCCTTTAGGTGCATTCTTAAGATAATTTTTGTTGAACTTATAATCAAGAGGTGCTGTAAATCAGTTTTCATTATATTTCTTATAACTTAGAATACATTTTTTTAATATTTAGGCAGCAGCTAGTTTTTGGGCTGAACAAGATGAACAGTCCAATGATTTTGAAGCTTCTATTCTAGATAAAAGAAAGATTATGGGTTTGCAAGAGGCTAATGCAGAAAATGCTGCAGCTGATGGCAAGTATAATTTCATATTTAAATATGTATAGCAATTCCTTTTTAATAAGTGTTCTGTTGTAAAACTAATATATAAGTTTCCTTATCAGGCACAGAAAAAAAGAAGAAATTGGATATGTTTTCAGAAGCTGATAATTTTGTATCTGATCTTGTGAGTATCATCATCTTTTTTCATATAGCTAAGTATTCGTGTTATTCCATTTTATATTCTGATGCTTATAGTTCTTAAATTCTTTACAGTTTTATCTGCAAATTCAGTATCTGTTATTTCAGTTATTGGCAGTTCGCAATAGAGAAAAAGCCCCTTGGAATTTTACAGTATATGTAAAGTGATAAACTGCCTGTGGCCAAATGTCAAGCACAGCATTGAAACAACAAAGCACTATATTTCGTCAGTAATAAACGCTATATACATTTACAGTATACCACTTAATGTAATCACATTTGTTCGTGATGATTTTCATAATATCAACCAAATGACAACTTTGAATGATGAAAAAAAATATTTTTTGGCATATCAATGGAGTTTTCACTAACTTAATGTAACTAGAAACACATAAACTCTTCCACATTGGAATTTGGAAAGAAGTCGTTTAATAGTGGATAATTTTTAACTGTTATGCTATGCAGAATTTCATTTATGAACTGTTCATAAAGTTTCTGGAAATTATTTGATTGATTCTGTACTCTTAAATTAATAATCAGAGAGCATAAGTGACCCTAAGTATGCCGATTTCATCATCATCATATTCAGAAAATTTATAACACTTTTGCTTTGATTTGTTGAGAAGGCAACTGGCAGAAATCTTCTTATGTCATTAATACTACAACTTTATTTTTTCATCAATAAGTTCTTCATAGTTCATGTTAGCTGAAGATATCTTTTCTTCTTTAGTTTCTGTTATTTTATAATTTATTTAACCCCTTCGAGCCGGGTAGCGAAAACGCGCGCTTATCGCGGAGGCCGGCAGTGTCTTACGCGAGCGTCTGTCCAGGGCCAGGGGCTTTTTTGCTGCTAAGCCTAAATCCATTAAATTTCCGAAATATCAACGCATTGTTTAATAATGCTCTAGAGAGTATTTAAACAGCTTATGCTTTATAGATATTTTTATACTATATACTTTAATTACCTTATTTCTTGTTTAAATGCATATTTTACACATTTTATTTTAATTACTCACCATTTATGACTTTTTAACATTATACATCTGAAAACTAAATATATTATTTAAAATTCTCTTTTCATATGAAAAATTTGAAAACAGGGATCTACACACAGTCCTACGTTACATTCCTTGCACTCGTAATAACTCATTTCCCGTTTTGGAGGATTTTTCCGGGAATGTGAACAAACGAAGCATCGTCGTCTCATTTTCTTATCAGTCTCTTCTGAACAAAGTTTTGGAAAATGTCTTTCAGTTAATCTTTCAGAATCAATATCAGAATATCAGAATTACAGAATCAATATCTGAAATATTTTGCATCATTTCTGCTGTTTCATGCTCTGTTAAACATTTTCGATGCTTCGACATTGCAACAGTAAAAACAAAGAATTCACGTCTAACAAGATCTAATTATTTTCTAAAAACTGAACTGCAAACCGAAATACCCAACGCTTTAGAGCAAATAAAACTTCTCTACTTACAGTAAATAACTACCACATGCAAATAAAGTGCGATTTAAATCGACGTCATAAATCACGCCATTCGGAAACATTTAGTTCCCCGTTTGTTTATATAATCAAAAACACGTGTATGTGAGTCATGCTTCTCTCATTTCGAGTAGAAGGTCTAATGTACATGTATCTGAAACCATATGGACATACAGTGCCATCTTGTGGCAGAAATTATAGTTTCCTAAACGTTCTAGGACACTGGCACAAATACGTGACAGTTGGTAGTAAATGGGAAAATGCTCTGGCACGCCTGCGTGTCGGCCGGGAGGTGAGTGTGTTCGTTGCTGGCATGTAGACGTGACAGTCGGCGCGAAGGGGTTAAAGGTTGGTATGCTTAATACTGTTATATGTTGTCTTAGCTGCAAATTTAAAATTGCAGTTTATTAAAATTATGCTGATTCTTTTTGTTGTAATTCCTCCAGTAATGTTTTTGTTTATTTAAAAAATGCACAGAGTCGCACATATACTAAAAAAAGTATTTTATAGCTTATTCTTGTTATGAATCATGTTACTTATTTTTAAAATAGGTCTGTAACAATATTTCACTTTATTGTTTAATTTCTGTTACATGTTAGGTTTTTTTTTTCTTTCTTTCCCCTTTTCTTTTGTGATGTCTGATTATCTGCAACCCCACTCTAAAGTCCTGAGAAGTATTTATATGGCAGCTCAGGATGTTGCCAAAGAGTATTTATTTATGTGAGAGTCCAGGTATGGTGTAGTATCACACCAGATTTTTCATGTCTCTGAACAATTTCATCAGTGTGATTACAAATTATGATCCGTTCTGTGGGAATTTCAATGTTTCAGCAGAACAGTGAATCCTATATTATAGTTTCTTCATCTTCAACGAAATCTGGAACTTGGCTTTATGGATGCATGAAGTGGAATGAGTAGCTTAAAGCATATTTCCTGTTCATATTAGGAGTTTTGGTGCTGAAACTGTGTACGATGCGGATTATCTGCAATTCTGCGTTGTTGTTTTTTTTTTTTTTTTTTTTTTTTTTTTTTTTTTTTTTTTTTTGTGTGTGTGTGTGAAAGCTCATTGCTAGGTATATGGAAAGAACAACAGCACAAGAAATTGAGAGGTATGCCTACCATGCATAGAAAAAAGTGGAATGTTAATTAAAAAAAAAGACTGAGGATGCAGTGTTAGAATAGATGTCAAGATATCCAAACAAACATTTCTTTCCAAAGTCACCAAGGAGTTCATGCCTTTTCAGTGGGGGTGTGGATGTTAAGAAAGTACCTATTCTTCATTATGATTAATTTATGGTACAAACTCTGAAAATTTTTTTAATATGAATTATTTTGTGAAATTTTAATTATTGTTCTAGAGCCCCGGATCAACACGTCTCATGTCTGCTTCCGGGCAAGAAAATCCAAATTTGACTGATAACTGGGATGATGCGGAAGGTTATTATAGTGAGTATTGTTTTCTCTCTTTTATGGTTTTGTAATTTAAATTTTTTGCCCATAGTTTAAATTCATTTTAATGATTGCTTTGAATTAAAATATTTAGTGCTATTAATGAACTTAAATATAGTAGTTTCTATGAATGTCAGTGATGCATAACCAAGGATCCAGATGCATTCAGGCAATGTGGAACATTACGACAGGTGCATTGAATTATATAACTTTCAACTAATCAAAGTTCATATTACATGCTACTTGATGCATCAGAGGCGAAATATGTTTCATGACCGTAATTAATATATATATATTTCCCCCTGCGTGCAAATGTTCATATATTGCTGGTGGTGTCTCAGCAAGAGCGTATGGAGAATTGATACAATCTTATTTAGATTTTCGGATTGATTGTGCGAATCCACTTAACTTTCAGTGACAATGAGTGTAACCCATCTGGAAACCAACTTTTTATACTCAGTTCTTTCTTTAATATGTTTGTAAATTTAAGTATGTTATTTCTCAGGAGCTTGCTTTTGATCTCATGTAGCTTTCAGTTGATACAAGCAGGTCAACTGGTCTTATTCTTTTCCAGTGATTTCCTTTGTTTACAAGTAGTCAGTTTTTCTGTAAAATTCTGTTATGCTTTCACAGGTTTATACTGTGAAATCAATGAATATGAAAAAAAATTTGAATATTTAGTGTATTCCACCTAGAAAAATATGCTGCTGTTTATTGATACTTGTGCTGTAATTGAGAACAAAAATACAGTAAGAGTCCCGTAAACTCCACATAATGAGAGACTATCGAGTTTTGCAGAATAAGGGGAGGGGGGGTTTCAAAACTTTTTAATATTTTAATTGTAAATTACTCTAGATATTTGTAGCATAATCGTGGATACGGAAAAGCACAGCATACAACTATAGTTCTAGCCCAATAGGAGTCGTAAAAAGGACAAATACCCTAAGATAATTGAGTGGAAAAAACTGACATACAAAAAGGAAGGAAAATTATTTATAGTTCTTAATAGAAAAATAATATCATGTGATGAAAGAAAGAATGTCCGTACCAGATGCACCTTGCTCCTCTGTGTAACTAAGCATTCCTTCAGTCCTTTAATATGAATCATCATTTTAGCTTTCTCGTTGCCTTCAATCTCTTTGTTTTCTGATTCATCTTCATTTTTTATCCACATTTTCTTTCAACAGTGCAACTATTTCTAAAGTTTCACAATTTTCATCTTGTCCCATCCATTCAACATCTCCATCAGTAACTTCTTTGCAGCCTGGAATTTATTTCACAATTTTTTGTCTCTTCTCTGCTTTCGTGAATGGTCCAGCAACTTTCTATAGGAACAAACGAGGCTTATCTGCTCAATTTCACTCCAAGAATGAGCTATCCATCCAACATATCTATGTTCTTCTGTTTCTCGATCATATCACACCCTTCCTCCATGGCTAGGACAAGAGATAAAAGAAGTTTACATCTGTATTTTTTCTTCAGTGCCTCCAAAATGCCCTGGTCCGTGGCTGACACACCAAAGTTACGTTAGGAGAGAGAAACATGGCTCTTATATCATCGTCTCGCAACTGTTCTGTGTCAGATGGGAATAAGGCTTTGCCTAGAATGAGAATCGCCTTCCTTGGTAGATTTTATTTCAAAAACTTTTCCACTCATGGAACAAACTGCTTATGAAACCAATCATTAAATATTGCTCCATTCATCCATGTGCTTGACTGATTCAGGTACCAAACAGGAAGATCATAGTTGGTTTCAGTCGCATTAATGTACTTTTTGTGTTTTTAAATGCCTGGGGATTTTTTGATTTGCCTTTTAAGCACTAGTTTGAACTTATGGGCTTCTGTTGCATTGCTGCATGCCAAGATTGTGACTCTTTCCTTGCTTTTTTTGTAGGCAGGTGCCGAATTTTCTTCCCTGGATCGTTTTTAAAGGTAGCATTCGGAAATTCAGACCGGTCTCATCACAATTATAAATTTGATCTCCAGATATACCCTCCTTTTCAATTAGTTTATAAAAATTATCTTTGAACATTGTAGCATTATCCAAGTTAGCAGATAGCTTTTCCCCGCAAATGTTTAACTGCCTGATGCCATACCACCTTTTCCATCTGGCGAGACAGCCAGCACTAGCAGTAAATCCAGACTGTCCTTCTTGAAATTCATCATAAACTTTTAAGGCTTTCTGTTGTAAAATTGGTCCTGAAATGAGTGTTTCCTATTCCATTTGCTGCCTGAATCACAAATAAAGCTTCTCGCTCACGTTTTCGTATTCACCATCTTTCATACTTTATCTTTCCTTTAAATTATGCATACTTGCTCTTTTCACATGCCAAGACCCAATTTTGGACCTCTTCTTTTCTCACAGTATCAAAGTAGTTCATCCTAAATCCATAGTAATTTTCTTTACACTTTCTCTTTTGTCCAGTCTCTTTAAGGCATTTAGTTTCATTTCCATTGTCATGTTAGTTCATTTCCTTTTCTTTTCGAACGACATTTTCACTTCACAGAATATCGAAAGGTTCCTAAAATATTTTAACACTTATACACCTGTATGTGAACTGAGAAACGATACTCGCAATGAATCAGTGTAAGTAGTTCGTCCAACACCTAAATCCATGGTAATTTTTTTTACACTTTTCCCTTTGTCCAGTCTCTTTAAGACATCTAGTTTCATTTCCATTGTCACATTAGTTTGTTTTCTTTTCTTTTCAAACGACATTTTCATGGAACATCGGATGTGGAATCATACTCCTGGAAGTAGCTTTTCGCCTCTTTCTCTGCATTAACGTAACATATGATTTGTACGAGTGCAAACCCTTTTATTGGTCAAAGAATTGCAAAAGGGGCAGAAAATTCCGGTATATTCTGATTTCTTTTTCTCCCACCCAAGACTACAGATGTTTGAATTTCTATCAAGATTTTAATAATTTGCATTCTCATTCTGCATAGTCAGTTCATATTTGCCTCTATTATTATCATTATGCTTATATTATGAGCATATGTATAAATATTTATAATAATATAATTGGAATAACTGCTGAAGTATAGATAAACTTCAAAAATGGCTAAGTGTGCTTTAACACGGATTGGCTTTCTAATGAATAATATTCGGAATGGCTCAAATAAAGTTAAAATAATTGCTTTAAAACTAATTGCTAGTTAAAACAACTACTTGAAAAGCTGATGTAGAAATGTTCAGTTAATTATTCACTAGTTCTAAATGCTGCATCAGTGAATCTAAAGTATATGATACAAAACAGCTCAAAAGCATATGAGAAAATGAACAGTGTATTGATGCATTTTTTCCCTAAAAGATCACAGTGCAGTCGAAGAATGTAGTAACATTCTTTTGGAATATTTCGATTTCATAGAAATTGTTATCCAGCCATGCATTATAGGATTTAAAACCTATGATTTGAAAAATACTTTGAAGTTATGGGAAACATTTAAAATGATCTATATTATTTCCTATGGGCAAGCCTCTGTTGAATGAGGATTTATTATCAATAAAAATATAGAAACAGAAAATCTGAGGAAAAATTCATACATTGTCCAGCGTATTGTTGGTGATTTTGAGATACGTGCTGATGGGATTCACAATGTATCAATTACGAAAGAGATGAGAGCAGCAACTTCATCAGCTCATTCACAGTATCAGTTATATTTGGAGAAGCAGGTGGAAAAAAGAAAGAAATTATTTAAGATAAAAGAAGAAAAGCAGAATCAACAGATGAATTGATTTCTCTTAAATGAGAGAAGAAGAAAGAGAAGTCAGAGTGTTTGAAAATAAATCAAATGAACTTGCTGAAAAGGCTGATGTTACAAAAGAATTGAATCTTTTAAATAAATCTAATGAAATCTTAAAACCTATTTGTGAAGAACAAACTCTGTTTAGAGCACTGGATTCAGACGAAAAGGGACCAAAAAAGTCAAAAATAAAAATATTACTAATTAATAAGCAGAGCTGTTTTTGTTCCTTTTATTATGCTGTAAAATATTTTGTGTGAATATAATAAATATGGCTTATTATTATTTATTTTCTCTATTTTGAACTGAAATTTCATCATTAAATCTTGTAATATAGTTTTGTTATTATTATTATTATGTCATAATAAACTAGTTCTATAAATTCAACTGTTATTTAAAATTTTAAAAAAAGTTGTAGTTGTTTTCCATGGTTGAGTAATGCTCATTCTCTCTTAATAAATACTGAATTTCTCATATTTTAAATTACAAGTCTAGTGTATTTTTTCTTTTAAGGTTATGCAGTTGTGTATATATGTAATTAAGCAGGTAGGGGCTTATTTTTTTCTTAAAATGTGCTTTAAAAGTGCTTATAAATGCTTATTTTTTAATTAAAATGTGGCTACTAACCCTGATTTCACAAAATATCAAAAGTTCCCAAAAATATGTTAACAGATATATGCCTGGATGTGAACTGAGAAACGATATCCACAATGAACTGGTGTGAGTTTAGTTTGCAATAAGATGCAGTCACAAAACTTCAGACAAATCTTCTAACATTTTGCAGCGATAGAAAGGACTGTGAGCCACTAGCCAGCTGCTACATGGCTTTCTTCTTATCCAAAGTGTTGCCAAGTGTTGCAACATATCTTGAAATTTGTTAGGCAGTTCCAATAATGAATGGCACAATGCAAAAACAGAACACTCAAATCTTTGACCAGAACAGGAAAGACATACACATAAATAATTATATGCACTGTATGTAATATTTGCTTTGTTTGGTTTAGAGATATCTAAAAAGTTGTCGAGTTTGCAGGACTCTACTGTATTAGCATGCATTGTCTAACACAGTGGATTTCAACCTTTTTGCATCCACTGATTGTACCATGCCTCACTGAGATTTGTATGCATTGATCTGTGCTTTTTGCACCATTAAAATTCTGATTCTCTGGTAAATGGTCAAACAAAGGAAGTTGTAATAATTAAGTTTTTATCCTTGTGTGCTGAAATCATTGGCCATTATATTGCTTAATATACCATTGTTACAGAACCTAGCAACGAGTTATTGGATGGCTCCTTTACATGATTTGAGGGTCATTTGATGAAATTTAAATGTTTTGTTCCTACTGATTTTTTATTAATTTTTAAAAATTACAACTTTTGAAGGAAACTTAAATTGTGAGGTTTCCTTCATTCCTTCATAAGTTTCAACTTAAATTGTGAGGTAAATTGTGAGGCTTCAACTGTTAAAGAATCAAAACATATTGTCAAAATTCTTACAATGTTTATTTTGTTTTCTTCTGTAAATTTATGTGTAGTTATGTTTTCTGTAACTTTGTTTTTCCTCAGAATTATTGAATATCTTTGAGTAATTTTTTAAAAAATATTTATACTGATTTCAGGAGTGAGAATTGGAGAGGTTCTAGATACACGATACACTGTTTATGGCTACACTGGTCAAGGCGTATTTAGTAATGTAATTAGAGCTAGAGATATGGCTAGAGGAAACCAAGATGTTGCAATTAAAATTATTAGGAATAATGAAATTATGTAAGTATTTATAAATTTGAAGTTCTCTGTAGCATAAAGTTACATTCTGAATAAAAGTAATGAGTATGAAATTTGCAAATGCATTCATATAAGAATATAGGCAGTGGCAGTCTGCTTAGAAATAATTAATTACATATTTTTTTAATTGAAATTTTGATAAATATTCGAAAAAATTATTCTGTTAAAGTTATATAAGATGTAAAATGATATTTACAAGAGGATTCAAATATGACTAGGACTGTTGCTGGTAAAAATCACTGCCCATGTGCAGTGCTGTGTCATTGGTTGAGTACAGCCACTACTCCCACCTTACAGTCTTTGCACATTAGATCTTGCTTAATCAAGTTTGGCATTCGCATGAGTGATAAGTGAAAAACAGTTGCCTCAGAGCGTGGAAACAACACACTGTGGTTAAATTTCTTGTTCAAGAAGATGTCCAATCTAGAATCTGGCAGAGACTTCAAGCATAGTATGGAGAAGAATATCTGTCTAGGGCCTCTGCATTTGAGCAGTCTGTCTGGAGAACATCTGTCATTGCTTCGATTGTGTTAATTTAATAATTAATGAGAAAAGGTGCATCATTATCAAAGAATCTGCTTCAATACTTTCAGGGAGTATGATAGTGTAGAAACCTTTGTGAAAAAACATTTATACCATGACAAGGTGTATGCCTAGTGAATTCCATGCAATTTGACAGATGAGAACAAAGTGATGCACATGTAAGCAGCCAGTTCTTTAAAAAGCATACATTTTGTGGATAACAATATCATCAAGTGGAAGACTTCTATAAAAAGGACATGGAAATGCTTCCAGAATGTTGGCAAAAGTAGGGGAGTGAGATGAAAGGTGATATGTTTAACTCTTTCATTCGCAATAAATCTTGGGCTTGGAGGGGAAAAAATCAGCCCTAGTCATATTTGAAACATCTTCTATTAATTCTGTTTCATATGTTTCCCTTCCTACTTTTTTTAAAATTTTCCTATAGATTTCATACTTTTGAAACCAAATGTGTAATTCATATTTTGCTATCACTTACCAGTTTTAGAATTTAAAATAGTGTAAATTAAAAATATTCCTTAAAATTAGTGTTCATTTTTGTTGATAAAAATACTTTAATTGTTTAAATTTAATTAATTGCATTTTTTCTTTTACTTTACTGTCTTTTTTTTTTTTTTTTTTTTTTTTTTTTTTTTTTTTTTTTTTTTTTTTTTTTTTTGTTTACACCAGCTAATGTCTAATACGAGAGTTGATCATTAGTCAACTAACGTACTTAGATAATTTTGGGACAGAGATCCTGGCAGAATCTTTTTCTATGCTTGTCTTTTCCTTTGTTTCTCAAAAAAATTGTGAAATAGGTATGAAAAATTAGGAAAATGTAACTAGAGGTACATAGTTTGTGTAGTATGAAAGAATTTCCTCTTTTTGTTATGAACTATTCCATATAATTTTCTGATTTCCCTCCTTCCCCAAAAAAAGTTTGGTAGAAAAATGTCAAAGTGAATTTGTCATTCTTTTCTTATTTGTCTGATTCATCTTGGATATTTTATCTTTAATATGTTGTCTAATTTGTAATTGAAAAAAAAAAAAATTCCTTTCTTTATTTTAGACTCTTTTAAAATTTCTCTTTTAACTTGGTGAAGCCATAATTGTAACAAATGGTTTTGTAAATGTCGGTTTATTTTATTTTTGTAAAGTGTGGGCTATTCCAATATGTAGGAAAGGTGTGTTTGTGGGAGACTTTCTAAGGAAAACTGATTCATATCCGTGTGACATCTGGAGAAAACTATGAAAACGCCCATGTAGTCAGCTTGTTCATTTCAGCTCAAACCATCATTGAACTACTTGTGTTCATCCACTGATGGACAGTGGTTTGCTAAGATTTTCCTAAAAGTTTCAAAAGTAAATATACTCTTTATTTGTCTGCAAAGACTACATATCACATTTTTCTCATCGGCTATGGCATTTTCAATAGAGGCAATATTTTGTGATAAAATAGCTATTTGTTCAGCTTTTACATTCATGTGTTTAAAAAAAAAATATTTAATAAAATCTCCTTAAAGTTTTGTCAGCCATATCACAAGCTGTATATTAGCCCACAGATGTCCTTCCGAATTCTGTTTTATAGGCTCACCAACAATCTGAATATATCAATTCTTCCTCTATGTGGTCTACAATCTTTGATATCAGTAGATATTTATGATTTGGAACCTAAATTAGAAACCACTCACCTCTTTCATGGCATAACCCATTGAATGTTGACTGTTGTAAAAGTAACGTGCCAGCATTATTTAGTTGCTGCACGAACTCTCATCAATTTTGTCTATTTTTTCAGGGCCACCTATTCATCCTTAAGGTTGTGAAAGTAAATGTAGCGAACAAACCTATCTCACAAAATTTTTGAGTCAATTGTGGTATTTTGACAGATATTACTTCTTCAGACCAACAGTAGATGAACTGTGGTGCTATTGGGAATGGTATTCTGGAACCACTAAACCAGTTGTAGGCTTTTTTGGCTTACAACTCTCCACATGGTGCATCCACATACTTTCGTTTACATGTAGTTTCATTTCATGGCCATTTACACATATTCATTCGCAAGTTAATATATCTTTTTCCTGGAAAAACGATATGGTATTTTCTTCACTCCTCAGTAAATTAAAAACTGTCAAAGTTTTTTTTACAATGTTGAAATTCAAAAAAGAAGTCTAAAATGAAAGTACCATTTTCTAGATATTATTGGTTTGTCATGGGGGCGCTGAAAATCAAGTAGTAAGTAGATTGTCATCTGTCAATAACTTGTTTAATGCAGGGTTCGTACAGTCCTTAGGGGAGTCCTTAGATTTTTTGGAATCGATTTTTGGTCCTTAATTTTAATCATCTGAAATTTCTGTCTGTTTTTATGACTGCCATTTTGAGTGTGAATTAGCATTTTGGAGGAATATTTTTGGCGATTCACTGACATATATATGGTTATCTTTTGAATGGGTTATAATTCGTTTCTTATATAAATGATGGGATACTCGAGTTTCTAAGCAAGAAGTAAAACATAAGCATTTTGAAATCTTTTTTTTCTAATAAAGAGCTGTTAAACAAGTTTTCGCATTTGGGGATGTGAATTCTTTTATTAAACGGTTCTAAATTTGGCGACTTGTCAACATTTTGGCGATTTTAAGATCAGTTTCTATAGAAAATTTTTAATTCTGAGATCTGAAAATTGGTCAACGATTTTTTTTAAAACATCACAACATTGATAAATTTCATTAAAATAATGGTAATATGTTGAAATTATATTGAAATTATATTTAAAAAAAAAGATTAAAATAAAACGTTATTATTTTTTGCTGTCATATTATAAAGTTTTATTTTGGCAACATATACAATATTTTGAATCTGAAAAATAAACAAGGTATAATACTATAAAGCACAATTTATGAAACAGCTCTTAGCAAAAGCAAAATTAGCTATGTAATTAATTAAAAATGTCATCTTTTTGATTTTTTCATAGTAAGAGTATTTTCCATGTAATTGTCTCGGAGTATTTAGAATTCTTAGAATATGCATCAGTTTTTCTCTATAAAATTAATTTTACACTTTTTCCCTGACCCCCCCCTTTTTTTTTTCCAAACTATTTCTGGCCTTTTGCTGTTACAAAATTGGTAGGGATAATTTTTTTTTAGAATTTTAGACATTGCAGCTTGGAAAGTTTAGAAGTATTTGAAGACAAGATTTATAGAGAAATGATTCTAGAAGATTCGAGAAATATGTGACAAAATGAAAAATGTCTCCATGGTATCAGAACGTAATTGATGTATTTTACAGAAAGTTTGCAATGAATTTCTTACTTTTTGGAGAACATCTGGAAGAACAATGAAAATATAATATTTGAATGTTTTACTTCTGATACTAGAATATTAAACAGCTTATCTTTCCCTTTATTTTCTCTACATTTTACTAGACAGAAGCATGGAAAATATCAAAAACGCTTCTCATCTTATCACATGGGCAGGCATTATAGATAGGGATGTTTTTATTAATAAATAAATTGAAAACTTACAATTTAAAAGATTAATCTAATATGTCTTAATGCATCATACACAGAGCTGGTACACATTTTCCCACCTGATGCAATCTCTGTGGATCCTAAATTCTGCTGCTTAGTGCCCCTCTAAGTTCTGCTTCCAATGCTTGCTCTAAATTCTAAAAGTTTTGCCATTTCTAGATTTTGTTGTTCAGTGTGTCACTAAATTCTAAAAATTCTGGTACATCAGCTCTGTAACCGGCCTTTACCATATATATTTCATATTTCTTTTGAATAGTCATATCACTAAAGAAATAAAATTAGCCCCCTTTTGTATAAATTCCAAATGCATTTAGTGTTTTTTAGAATAACAGAAATCCTTAATTAAATCCAAAAATTATAAAATGAAAAGGAAACTTGTTGAAGAAAGAAACTGAATACATAAGGAAAATTATTCTTCAAAGATATGTGCAGTTATTATTATGTAAATTACCCAATAGTTTATGTTTTTAGCCTTTACTGTAATTTTCCATTTCTATTTCCTCATATGATAGAGTTACTGAACCAGATTAAATAAAAATTAATTTGTATAATCTTTGACCAGTAGTCCACATTTTTAGTTTGAATTTGACTGTTCTTGTTTAATTACGTCAGATGTAATTGATTTTGTTAGCATCAGAACATACCTTTATCTTCTAAGTTCTTTTTAAATAAGAGGCTTATTTAAACCTTTGTCTGATATTGTAGTTACTTTCAGACATAGCGATAATACGTTTCACATCTGTCGGAGGTTTCAGACTATTTAACTTTTACCAGATCAAGTAAACCCTCATAGGTACATTGTGGAGAGGTTAACAAGTTAGGACATAAAGCACTCAGACACTAGCTAGAGCATTGGTTTGCATAGTGAGACAAATCTTTAATTGTTAGAAAAGATGCTAAAGAGAAGGAAATCGCTAGCCAAAATGTTTGGGAAGGCTTCAAATTAAAATGACGGATAAATATTTTTTGAGTGTTGTTGTTAGAAGACATAAATGTTTTGTAGCTTTTAAAGTGTAATTATCCTTATGTCATAAATTACATGTATTTTAAACTGTGAAATGTTATTAGAAAGTAAGTTTAAAATATTTAATGCTACTTGATAAATTGCATAAAGTTTATTTTATTAATTCATGTTTGGTAATAATGCATACTGCTTAGGGATCTATTTCATTTTTAATTGAATTTATTCATTTCCCATTTGCTCATACGTCCTTAATTTTTTTCATTAATGGTCCTTAAAAGTACTTCATTTCTGTGCAGAAATGTGTATGAACCCCGTAATGGCTATCTATATGCAGATTAAATTGCTGTAGGCGGCGTACATTCTAGTTTTGTTTTTAAGTTATTCAAGTTCTTTAAAATCATGGAATTCCATCGAAATGGTCACACAATTCTTTGTAAATGAAGTTCATGTTGTAAAATCTTATTAATAGGTGATAATCGTACCTATCTAATTTCTGATAAAATTTCTTCAGATCAGAACCCAAAGTATGCTTTCCTGGTTACTGTAAGATTGTCTAATCGTTTTGACCAAAAGAAGAGAACTGAAAAGATTGTGTAAAGAATATTAGAGTATTGTATTTTGTGTTTAGGTTTACAAGAAAAAATATGTTAGTAGTTACATAAAATTATCAGTTATCTAAGTAAGTTTCTACTATATTATTATATAAATTCTGAATAATATTCTTGTATACCATTTGACCATTCTGCTGCAATTTCAAAATAAATATCACTCACTGATGGACTTTTCTTAAAAGTGACGATAAAAGTTTCGTTTGCGCTTTCAAAATTATTTCTACACATATGTAGCAAAATACAAAAAGTACCAAATTTGTTTCTTGCTAGACTGAGACATGATAGATTCAAAAGTACATTGATTGGAACAATTACAGGAACAACTATGAAAAGGTTATGTGTTAATTTTATTAAGTCCAATGAAAGGTAGTTGTTAGCTCAAGATCAATGTCAAAATGTAGTCCAATGGGATTTACCTCTACTACACAGAAAAGTGCAAATTTTAATGCCCATTCTTTCAGCACATAAGGAAAGGAATGCTAGATTCTAATTTCGATGATTGTATGAATAGTGGGATAAAATTTTTGCATGTGGAACATATAAGATGTTGTTGAGAAAGGCATTTGATGGGTTTGGGGAAATGTTATGTGATTAGGAGAGTGGAAGTGGAACAGACATTGACACAGGTCAGTACACACCTAAAAGTAGCCAAAAGCATGAGGTCAATAATCTGGAAATGGTTGAACACATGTCACAGTCTGTTATTTGGCAGTGATTACTAAAGAAATAGACAACTGTTGTTTGCTCAGGTTGCAAGCGAGTCTGCAGCAGCTCAGGAACTCAACTATACGGATATACTGTGAGTGATAGGCTACTTAAAAGAGATAAAAGGTAGATTATAGTTGAAAGGTATAGATTGGAATGGAGTACTGCAAAGAAATCTGTTACTATTTAATCTTCCCCTACCCTGGGAAAATAATTGAATATTCATTATCTTGAAATCTCTCAACATTATTTTGTTCTCTGCAGAAATTACCTCGAAAACTTTTATTTGCAGATTATGCTTTATACTAAATTGAATTTTTCAATTTTAATTAATGTTTTGTGCTGTTCTGCTTTTTTAATTTCATTTGTATAATCTTATTTTCTCTCAAAAAAAGCATTACCCAATCTATCATTTCACGGAAAAAATGATTATTTATTGCTGTTAGAAAGTATGCTTATCTTCTTTAGTATCATTTTCTTCATTAGTAATTTTTATATTGAATTAATTAAAAAATAATCTTTTAAAGCATGCTTGTTTAAGAGATTAAACAGTAATCTCTCTTTTAAAGGCATAAAACTGGTCTTAAAGAATTGGAAATGTTAAGGAGATTAAATGATGCTGATCCAGATGATAAATTTCACTGTTTGCGCTTATATCGCCATTTTTTTCACAAGCAGCATTTGTGCTTGGTTTTTGAACCATTATGGTAAGATTTTTTTTTAATCCTCCTTTTGTGTTCATCAGTATATCTTACTCTGCAAGACTGAATGGTTAAATTAATTTTATTAAATATTTTATTTTTTTAGCATGAATCTCAGAGAAGTTCTTAAGAAATATGGGAAGGATGTCGGTTTACATATCAAAGCTGTACGTTCTTATAGTCAGCAACTGTTCCTTGCTTTAAAACTTTTAAAAAGGTGCAATATTTTGCATGCAGATATTAAACCTGATAATATATTGGTAAGCTACATAGATATTCTAGAATGTTTTTTTTTTTTTCTTTGATTTGCTTAGTCATCAAACATTACTAAATACAAAATAAGTTATTTTATTATTTAGCATGATATAATTTTTGTCCTCTCTTATCATGTTTTGTCTCAAATTTTCAGGTTAATGATCGTAAACTGGTCTTAAAACTTTGTGATTTTGGTTCTGCATCACATGTTGCAGAAAATGATGTTACCCCTTATCTTGTGAGTCGATTTTATCGAGCTCCTGAAATAAGTGAGTGTCCCCCCCTTCTGTTGGTTTTTAAGTATTTTATTAATTCTTCAGATCTTTATCTCTGATAATGAGGTCAACTCAGCATAAAGAATGTTTTGCATCCTCAAAAATATACTTTCTTTCTGTCTAAAAAAATTAAACTAAGGTATATTAATTTAGTATTTAATAATAAGTTGTGAAATAGGTTTTCATTTTCTACAGAGAAATGTAATCTGATTGCACATTTAATGCATAGTAAAGTTTATTTTCATGTGTTCATATGTAACATTTGGTACTTTATAAATTATGATTTAGATGCAATGTTATTTCATTAGGTAATATTATAATTATAGAATTAATAACAGTTTTATTTATTCTTATAACTAGATAACACTACTACTATTATAGTAATTAAAGAATGATTAAATGCTTTAAAATATTAGTTTGTAGTTGTAATGTTGTATTAATGTGATTACTGCATTCTGTATGTAAAAAGAATTGGGTACATTTCTGTTATCGAGACCGGATTCAGAAATGTATATATGCACACATGCATGTATGCATACATATGTTTCTAAATCCAGTCCTGATGACTTAAAAGTAACAAAAAAAAAAAAAAAAAGAATGAGGATTATGTGTTAGAACTATCTTACAAGCATTTGTAATGTTATATACATAAGTTTTTATCATTGTATATAAAATAGTTATTAGTCATGTCAATTTTCCTTTTTTCCCTCCCAGTTTTAGGTTTAAATTATGATTTTGGCATTGACACATGGAGTGTTGGTTGCACTTTGTATGAATTATATACAGGAAAAATAATGTTTCCTGGGAAGTCTAACAATCAGATGTTAAAGAATTTTATGGATTTGAAGGGTAAATTTCCTAATAAACTTATCAAAAAAGGAGCATTCCGTGAACAGCATTTTAACAATAGCTGCAACTTCCTTTCACATGAAGTTGATAAAGTAACTGAAAGGGTAATTATTATTATTATTATTATTATTATTATTATTATTAATCCAGTTTGAATTTAGTGCTTAAAAAGATATTACTGTTTGTATTACTGTTTTCCTATATTCATGAAAGAAATGTCATTTTCTTGGTTCAAAATACTGATGTTTTATTGAATTTTTTAAATTTAAAGCTCATAAGTTGGATATCATTCTATCCATTCATGCTGTATCAGTAACTTTTTTAGCATAAAATTTACTGATACAGCATGAATTTTTTAGCATAAAAATAGTTTATGTAGATGATTAAAATAAATACAGTACAAGTCAATCTGCTAAAAAAAAGGGCTATAGAGGAAAGATATTTCTCTGTACCAAATCTATTTGTTCATTTATAAATGGATGTAATAGTTGGCATAAATGGCAAAATATGTGATCAGGGAGTAAAAGATAAACCCTCTGTTTGTCATCTTATTTCTTTTTCAAACGTCAGATCTTACATGATAGATTAATCAATCAGAATTTTTAAACACTTGATTCCATAGAGTAGAAATTGATAGAAGCCTGAAATATTAATGAAAAAGTAACAGTAGGTGAAAATAATACATATGGGTCTTTCTTTCTTTCCCAGTTTAATTTGAGTGTAACAAAAGGCTGTGAAAATTGTGCATCGGTCATGAATAAACCTGTAGTGCAGAAGAAATAGCTATTACATTTGGAATATTTTTTAGAAGCAGAAATACACTTATTTAGTATTATTAGCTTCAATTTGGGCATTTTTTTTTTTTTTTTTTTTTTTTTTTTTTTTTTTTAATGAGCCCAATCCTATGATTAAAAGTATTGATCATGCATATAATTGCAGTTTGATTTGTGTGTGGCTGCAGTCTGTGGTATTCTCACCTCCCAAGTGAAACATAATTACAGGCCATTTTTTCTTAGGAAGTCCTCGGTGATGATATTTCTTTCTAGGCAGATACATGCTTTAATTGCTATGCACTAAAAAATGTGTGCCGTTTTCTGAAAATTGCTGTAATGCTAAAAGAATTGCTCAAGACAATTTTGTTTTTATTCTGTCGGTAATATCTTGTATAAATAATTCTTTTATCCGTATTTTTAAAGGAGAAGGTAGTAGTTCTGACTAACATTAATCCAAGTCGAGATCTACAAGCAGAATTGGTTGGATCGCAACGTTTACCTGATGATCAGTATCGGAAAGTATGCCAGTTGAAAGATTTATTGGAGAAAATTCTGATGCTTGATCCAGCTAAAAGAATATCCATAAATCAAGCATTAACTCATCCATTTATTCAAGAAAAAATATAAGGTATGAAATTCTTTATGCTTTTATTTTTCTTTCATTACACTTTGTTGATTTTGAAAGCTAAGGTTTGTCTGTATTGTTGCTTTCTCATTTTAAATTTATATTTTTATATCTGAAACAGCATTTAGTGATATGCTAAGAATGTTGGGCATTTACAAATAGTGGTGGACAATTCTGTTGGCATTTGCATAAAGAAGAAAAACTTTGCATTATTGCATTAATTCAGTTCATTGTTCATATGGTTCAATAAAGTCCTTGATGCTCTCTAGCTCATCTCATCAGCTTGCATCTCATCTGTGCCACTGAACACCATTCTTAAAATTATTGATGATTGATGTTATGTAACCTGTTGTGTAGAAATACTTTTTCTATGTCTGGATCAGATGCATGTCTTCATTATAAGAAGTGCATGCTTCTCTCATTAGAGTACTGTGAGTATTGACTGTTAATCTGTCATGATATGGATGTTCTGTCTGGTCATCAAAATTAAAGGATAATGGCAAAAATAAAATGACTTAATGACTTGCTTAGTAAAAAATTATTAATAGAAATTTATGTAAAAGCATTAGTTATCATAAATTACTATGTTTGGCAGTTGATTATTCACAAATTATTGAAATTAAAACCAAATTTATGGAAATAAAAATTAAATCACTTGTGACAGATATGCATGCCTCACATCTTGATTTCATAAACTTTACCTAAGTGTTGATCAAGACTTGTGGACTTGCACGCCTTTCTCCTAAATGTGCATTTTTCAGCTACTGGAGTGTCCAGTGAGAAATTTGGCACCGTAAGGCATCTCATACATAATCAATTGGGTTCAAGTCAGGTAAGTAAAATGGCTAATCCATTTGAGTGATATGTTCTGTTTGCATGTATTCTGACACCACATATACCAAATGAGGCCGAGCATTGTCATCCATTAAAAAAACTCTGGGCCAACAGCACCCCTAAACAGTCTTAACTTGGGGTGCCAATACCTCATCCACATATCTCTGATAGGGTTGCCACGCTACTGGGAAAACTGGAAAAAGTTGGGGAATTCGAAAATTGACAAGAAAAGTCAGGGAATTTCATACGGCGATCCCCCCAAAAAAGTGAGTTTTGCGCCAGCATTGAAAGCGATCACTTTCTTGGCTTCTTGGCGAATTATGTTTTGCTTGAGCGTCATTCAAGCAGTTGGCATAGAGCCAATTTTTTCAGCTGCAATCAAATTGTCTTTTAGCAAGTTTCCAGTAACCTCTCGAATTGAGAGACTCGCATGTGCAGTGCATATTGAAATAAAGAAGACACCTTCCCATTCTCTTATAAAACAAAATTGGTTTAATTCTAGTGTGCGGGATTTGGTGCAGTAAACAGTCATTTTGTGGTGTTGGCGACAGTTTTTAAAATAGTGCCGTGGCTGTAGCGTATACTAGAATTTTACTGCAAAATCTTTTAAACCTTTCCCCCCTCCCCTTTTTAATAAATGCCTTATTTGTCATTTTGCAGTGAAATAAAAAATAGTAATCAGTTGTCTAGGATAGCCATTTTAATATAACTATATTCGCCAAAAAATCATTTATTGTAATTCAATTTTTGAGTAATTAACTTTATTTTAATGTTAGTTGTATCATTTAATGCTTGCTTCTTCCCTCTAAATTTATTTATTATTAGCTAATAATACTTTCATATTTCAGACAATTTTCTCTGGCAATTATCCTAAAACTGATTCTAGTAATAAGATGACATACTATCACGAAATTTAATGCATATATTTTTTGCTTATGTATGCTGCTGAGTAAATGTAAAATACCTGAATTTATTTTAAAATATCATTAAATAGATTTCTTTCTTCTGTTTAGCTGACAAAAGACATTTTTTAATCCAGATTGGGCATATTCTAATCTTAATCTTCAGTGCAGAAAACAACTCCTATTATAGTTATAGTAGTAATGCTTTGGGAATATATATATAATCATATGTAATTGGCAAATATTTATGTTTTCAAGTGGTACTTTTACCTCTCAGCACAGCCAACACACACTATGCAGATAGACTGGAATGTTCTTAAAAAACACGTGGAAAAGTCAGAGAATTTCATTTTCCTGTGTGAGTGGCAACCTTGCTTTGAGCAGTTACAGAATCTCCTTAAAAGACATGCAACTCGGTGCAGCCATTTGTCATGAGTCTTCTCCAAACAATTAAACTGCAGTCATGGAAACTGGATATTTCATGTACAAGAGAAGGCAAGTTGTGTGTTCCTTCTCTTCTCCTCTCTGCAGATCTAAAGATGTCTAAAATAACTGTTCAGACTATGTCTGGACTTGTCAATAAACGGTACTCAGGCCCAGTTTTCTTGCCTGCGCTGAGCATAACGACGACAGCAGTTTAAACTGGCCCCCCTGGAAGCTGGAGTGATTGTGTCACTAACCATCCGTTTTCTTGCATACAGTTCCAAACTCATTAGGCCTTAGTGCAGCAGCGGAACAGCTAATTTGAGTTCCTGCAGCCTGAAAATCTAAAACCAAATCTCTTATAGTCACTTCACTCATTCTTCGAGCCTACAATGACAGAAAATGATGCAGTTGTTGTTCCTGATAACCCTAGACTAGACAGTCTGTCAACTGATCCAGTGCTTGAAAAGTGGCTCCAAATTCTTAATATGACACTATGAGAGATAATTTAATCTTGGGCGAACTTCATTTGTGTTTGACCTCCTTTGATTCTACCAGTTATTTGCCACTTTTGACTTCACTTAAATTATGCTTTTCAGCCGTATAACTACTGAACACTCATCACTCTCAGAAACCTTAAACAAAACGACAGACAAGAATTCGCTTTCATTCGCTTAAACAAAACGACAGACAAGAATTTGAATATGCATCCCATATGTGCATAAGTGCAGTTTTCTTTTCATTAGTATTTAATTAATGTAATTAATTGCAGCATTAGGTATTCATTGCAACATTAATTTAGCATAATTTTTCTCATTATCCTTTAATTTTGATGACCAGTATATAAAGATTATTGTAATATCTGAAGACAAACGTACAAGAAGGATATACAAGGTGACCCAAAAGACCTTTAACATTTGAAAATTCAGTAATTCACTGAATAATGTTGGTATGGAGGTAAAAACTGACACATATGCTTTAAATGTCATAGAGTTTTTATTGAAAGGAAAAAAGAGCGTAAAACGGCCAGCAGATGGTGCTTCATATGCTAACAAAAGCAATAATTAGCATAACAATTGATTTTCAGCAGACTATGTTCTTTACAACAAATGTTCAGCGTGCCGACCATCATTCTTCAACGATACCTGTAGTCAGGACAATGTTGTGAACAGCACTGTACAGCAAATGGTAAGAGGTTGCTGTTAGATGTTGTCTTTTAACATCCCTAATTGAGGTTGGACGATCGCAGTAGACCTTATGATTTCAGATAACCCAATAATCACACAGACTAAGATCTGGCGACTTGAGAGGCCAAGCATTGAAGTGGCGGCTCAGCACGCTACACGTGTGCAAGAGATCTTTCACGTGTGTAGCAATATGGGGTGGAGCACCATCTTGCATAAAAGTCATACCTCCCAACAAGTGTTTATCAGCCAAACTACGGATGATAGAATTCTGTAACATATGAGCTTACCTCACACTTGTCACACTGACAGTTTGAATTTCAGAACCACGCATCTGCTCGAAGAAAAAGGGTCCAGTCACAATTTATGTGATAAGTCCAGCTCACACCATGACCAACAACTGGAGGCGAGGATAGGAGAGTGACAAAATCATGAAGGGATGGATTGATTCCCTCTCTCACTACAGCTTATTTCGTACACGATTCTCATACAACATCACTGACATTTTGCTTCCCTGTGCCATATGTTGGCCTTGGGAGAATTATAAAGTTCGTAAAGCATGTCATGTTAACATGTCGTAGTTACTTTTTTTATTTTATGAAGTATTGTATTTATATCCAAAAAGTATGTGTATTTCTGTGCAATTGAATGAATATCTTGGAGTGTGATGTCTATTCTTTCATAATGCTCTAAAATATAATTAAACATAAATCTAAGCATAGTTTTAAAAAGAAGAAAATATTCATATTTAAGGTAAGAAGGGAAGTTTTAGAGGAAAGATAAATTTTCTTAATGAAATAGTAGTTATATGAATATATTAAATAAGGACCCAAATATGATCTTTATTTTATTTATGAAGTCACTCTGTAAATGCTATGCAATTATAATTAATTGTGTTTACATACACAAAGAAGGAAAATCTTAGGCAACTTTTTTTTTCCAGTGGAATTTCTTCCTTTTTGGGACTATTATTCATCAGACATACAGGAGCACATCAGAAATTGTCTGTCACTCAGCAAGAACCTTAAGAACTGTATTCACACTTTGTGTTTATGTTCATAAACTATCAGTATGTGAGAAGGAAACGTATGTTCATCTTCTCCTTACATTTTCTTAAATTAGAACAGACTTCTTTTCTTTTCTTTTCTTTTTTTTTTTTTTTTTTTTTTTTTTGGGTAGTGTATGACTTGTGTTCAGTATAAATGTCAGTTAAAAATGAACCATTATACAATTGGATTTTTTTCTCAGTGAATGTATGAATATTGCTCCTAGCATTGTTTATTTTATAAAATCTTTATGAATTGTAATTTGTAATGTATCAAAATAAATATTTCTTTCATTGAGTACATTTTAAATTTCCTTTCATTTGCTATTAGACAGCATCAAATAATTTTTGAAGCATAAGTGAATTTTATATTTTACATACATTTAAGATTTTAAGAAGTATTTTTGTATTAATGAATACCGTTATAAATTTATTCCTTGATTTGATAAAAGTATTTTGATGTCTGTGCCATTTTTTAATTCATGATTTTAAAAAAAATTACAAACTAGAAGTAATATGTAGGTTAGAAAAAGTGCAAGCAGAGAGTTGAAGGGTTTTTTATATATTATATTATTTTTATTTATTGCATTATCTTATTTTAATTATAATTATTTAGAAGTTTTACATGGTAGTATACACTGTGGTAAGTAAATTATGTGTTAAAAATCATATGAAGTGATTGTTGAAAAGGATGAAAAGTCATGCAAATAAATGCATTTTACAGTTATATGTATAAATTTGTTTTATGATATAATACTCTATATAATTTTGTTAAATATTTGGTGTATTTTTAATTATTGTGTTTGTAGAATGCTAAGAAAACGAACTGCTGGGCAATGTATGTTTCATCATCAGAATTATTATGTTTAATATTTTGATTACATTACTGTGTTTAAAATCTGATAAATAGTTTAAAACTTATATTTTATAAACTCTAATATGTTTAATGTCTTGTTATTAGCTGATGGCATTTCTATTCTGATTGTATTAATGATACTTTTGTCATGCATCTTCTTTTTGCTATTCATTAGGTAATTTCTTGTGCCATGCCCTTTGCTGTTGAAATAAGATCTGTTCGCTGACAGAAAGCAGTATAGTGCTTTGTGGTAATTGGTTTTCTGTCATTCCTTGGATTCATTTTCCAAACTGAACCATTAAATTAGTATATGGATGTAAAAATGTTTAAACAGATGTTTATGTCAAAATATCAGAGAAATTTTAAAAACATTTTAGTTGCTTTTTTAGCATGCACTTTGCAATTCCTGTGCCATGCAGAGATCAGCACAATAAACCAGAAATAGTTAGGAGGAGGATTGTTAATTCCCTCTCATGCTATGTGAAAACAATTGTGGAACTTTTATCCTGTTCTTGTATATATATATATATTTATTTGTTATCGGTAAAAAATTAAAAACAGAAAATAATGTATTTTCAAATAAATACAGTCGTAAAGTCAGACTTAATTGATTATATGTTCAAGTAAGGTCTTAGTTTCTTATTGTAAAAAAGCATATATATTTTCTGACTCCCCCTTTTTTTTTCCTCCAGAATATTTGTTTCCCATTTTAGAAAAAATTTGCTAACTTGTTTGTAAATAATTTCAATACTCACTTCTACACACAAGCCTAACTTGGCAGTGCAAAATTTTTATATGCAGTTTCTCATTACAACATGCTTTCAAACACAATTAAAAAAAAAACTGATTGTGTGTAAATCGTTTTAAATTCAGCATTATTATAATCTAAAAATGTTTACTTAATTGTTCTCAGGCTCCAAGATGATGCATAACTGGAAGTGTGTGGTCATTCAAGCTCTGCTGTCTACACTTGTTGCACTCTGAAGGTAGAAATAAAAAGCATGAAAGGAGAAATTTAAATGAGCAAAAAATTTATGTGACATTTTATTAACTTATATTATTTAATAACTGTTTGCTGTAATTGCCATTTAATAATTTTAAGATACATATAATTTCTTGTTTGGTCATTTATGACTTAACCATATTCATTTTAATGTTTATTAGATAAGTGCATTGTGAACATTGATCATTTCTGAAAGTTTTATTTGTCATCTGAGATTAAAATTTAATAACATTTAATTCTTGCCTCAGTCAATGTTAATAAATTATAATTGCATTAAAATTTTTTCTTTGAATCACAAATAAAAAATTATTATTGCCAAATTCTTATTTTAGACAGCTCACTTTCTCTCTTATCCAAAGAGGTCTACAAATTTCTCTGAAATTCAGGAGCTATTCCTTATTTTTTGGTTCATGTTACTATTTTGAGAACATGAAAATAAAATATTTCACATTGGAAACTGCTGTATGGTTCTGATATCTTGTTTTGAGTTCTAAAATTGATGTATAATTTTTTAGATATTCTGAAGCATTAGTCGACGGAATGCTTAACCGACACCAGTTAGCCAACAAGACATTTAGCCGACAGGACTTAAGCCGACACTGAGTCTCGCTCTTCCCAATGCTTTCAGATTTCTAATACTTTCACATTTTATTACTACTTTGCTCAACACATCACACTACATTCATTCTCGTATAAAGTCATTTCGCTCCTCCCACTAATGAAATTTCCTTTTCCTGTCAGGAAGTAGAGCCCGTTTGCAGGATTTGAAATTCGGACCAAACTGCCAGTGTTCAATGACTTTACTACTTGGCCACTGCTGGGCATAACAAAAATAAAGTGACCATTTTACTTAATATATAAGCAGTCTCTTCCAACGAAAATTGCCTTTTTAGGCTAGAAATGGATTCAGGAAAATGGGCACCAAAAATTTTACCATTACCATGTAGCTAAACCAAAAACGAGAAAGAGAAGAAATAAGAGAGGGAAAAATGAGATGAAAATTTATACATTTTTAACAGATATTGAGAAAAGTTACATTTTATAAGAAAAACATTAATAATGTGTAATTTTCAATATAATGAACATATTGAAAATTACGCATCGCAACTTTCAAAAGAGAGTACATAATATTATCTAGTTACATGACTGATCTAATTAACTCTATCATCGATAGATGGCACCACATTACAGTGAATTTTCAGGATGTCTGGCTTTGCTCTGCCCTACTTGTTTGTGGCCCCTTCTGCAGCTTCATCCGATTTCTCTTTGGAGATTTTCCCATGTCCGAAATTTCATATGATTAAAGTTTCCGATATATGAAGAGTGAAAAATGTAGTTTTTGCAGAAATGTATTCAGTTTTGAATAAAACAAAAACTTAAAGAAGAATATTTTACTTCTAAATTAAACATTATGTACCAGTTTAACTGCTGCTATAAACATTAACTTAAGTAAGTATTTTAAGAGAGAGGCGTGCTCAATGCTTAAATGCTAATTGCTTATGCATATTGTCCGAGATGGGCTTTAATAAGCTATATTGATCTAATCCCCTAAGGGCAATCAGAGTGACAACTATCAGTTAGTTTCCAGCCGGGAAATAGGAGTGGGTACGTGTGGTCAATGAAATGTTACAGGATTTTTATCTCAAGAAGGATGGCATGAACAGCTCATTATAGAGGTCACAAATAATTTATGCCTTTGCTTGTCTTAAAAATATACTTTCTTAATTCTTTTTAGTAACAAAATAAAATATATTTGCTAAACTAACCCTTCACTACTATATGTTTCTATAAAAAGCATAATTCAAGAATAACAATAATTTTTATTGCATTATTCAGATTTTTCCTGACAGGGAAGGGAAATTTCATTAGTTGGAGGAGCGAAACAATTTTGTAAAGGAAAGAATGTAACGTGATGTATTGAGTAAAATAGTAATGAAATGTAAAGATATTAGAAATTTAGAAAATTAATATCATTAAGAAAACAAGAAAAATTATTAATGATGTGTAAGTGTTCAAAAGAACCTAATCGATTAAATGAAGAAGCTTTACGGATAATTTTTTGAAGATCCCATATTAAAATGTAACTAAGTGACCGTCGTACTTAGCTAATAAAATTCTTTTTTTCCTTTCGAAAATTTAATTAATATTCCCTGGCGAGTATTTTCAATGCTTTTTCAATTTGGTCAGTATACACCAAACAGCATGATACATATCAAACAATGCTAAATTACACCAGAATAATTAAAAGCACGTATGAGATCTTTAAGAATCGAAAAAATGAATTTTACTGATTAGGTAAAAAAATAACTTAAATATTGAACTCATGGAGAAGACGAAGAAATTTCGTAATTGGTAGGTACGTTTAAATAAATTATGGGGTATGTGTCAGCTTAAACGTCACTGTCAGCCTTAGTATCCTGTTGACTAAATGTCTTGACAGTTAAGTGTCCCGTACCTAAATGTCCTGACGGCTAATTCTCTGTGTCGGTTCAGTGTCCCGTCGGCTAAGCGTCTCGGACCCATTCTGAATAATTTTAGTTACTTCCATTGTGGTATTCTTATATAGAAGGGTTAATTTAAACACATTTAACTATGTGAATTTTTTTAACTTTTGAAGAAATATGAGAATCCTGTAAATCATTGGCAAATTAAATTAAATGTCAACTTCCTAATGAACCTAGTTTTTTATGTTTGAGTAATTTTAATATTCTGTTATTAGTTATTTCTGTATGGTTATTTAGGATACTAAAGCTTGAATTCATTCATTCTCACACCATTCCTATTTTTAGGACAATAGGAATAAAAAAAGTTTTTCTATAAGTGGTAACAATTAATATATTGAATGCATCCATAATCAATCATAATAATACAAGGCTGATTAAATTTTTTAAAAAATCCGTATACCGTTATTTACAGCAGTTTTGAACCTTAATATACCACTTTTCTACAAAGTTCCCTTGCAAGATGATGCACTTGTTTTATTATTATTATTCTGCTAGATTCCTCATTCCTTCACAAAAAAAAAAAAAAAAAAAAAAGTTTTTCGCTTTTGGAAGCCAGTTTTGCACTGCCAGTTATGCGGGTAGTTTTGTTGTTGGGGAATCCAGCTTAGTCAGAATTAGCTTTTGTGACCCAAAGGCATCTTCTCTGACTTGTGCAGATCCATCACTGATTTCTGTGTTCAGTCAGTTGTAGTAATATTATATATTGGTTTTCTTTTATTAATTTTACCCCATGTGGATAAGTTTTTTGTGTACAGTCATTATTATGCTAGTTTTTCCTTTCTAAATCTTCCTAAACGCTCTGAAATTTTTCTGCTTACTCTGTATTGAGCTAATACAAAATGATGAATTTCCATGTGTCTTTCTCTATCCACAGAGAGAACCCATGATGTTGCAGTCATAAGATAGCATATCTATATGTCTATCCTTATTGCTACCAACTGCTGGAATAAATACTGAATAGCTGTTTGTGGACAAGCTAGCTGTCATGCTTTGCTAACAATTTACACTGTCTCTTTTTCCCTTTTGCAGTAATTGCATTTATTTTTTTATTCACTTATGGCAATTGCATACATGAAAGAAAGATTATATTTTGTGTAATGTCACTTTATTTTTTGATTGAACTGGTGCTAAAATATAGAAACAGACACAGAGCATAGTTAGTTTCAACTTATGAAATTACTGTATTTGGTAGAGTATTTAGAAGAAATTTGCCCTCACGCCCTTCCCCAATGCATAGATTATATCATGGTTTCCAATACTTACATTAATATATTTATATTTTCCTGAAAATCATTGAAACTGTAAATTAAATTCTTGTGGAAATATTCTGTATATAACATACGTTGATCTTAAATAGATATAAAATCTATTATAATCCAAATATTATTCATGCCAAAAAACTTCTATAAATATTGAAGTATCAACATTTAAAATAGTTGCTGGAATTTGTGGGCCTCTATTTTTATACATTGTTTTAATATATGATGTTCCTGTTTATTCGAATCTAAATATATTTTTTAACTTCATTATTCTCAGGCAAGGCCTAACAAGACAGCTGAAGCAAGGAAAATTCTGAAATTCGAAGCCTTGCTGATCATCTGTTGCTCAGTTAAGGTATAAATGCTAGGAATTAAGTTTGTAAATGTACTTAACAATCATGTAAATTGTGAATCTGAAATTTAAAATGCAAGTACTTCTATATATGCAACTACATTTTCTTTTAAAACCGAGTTAAAAAAATTTAATAATTTTGTTTTGTTCCATTACATTTTCGGTTTTATTGATGTATGTAGTATTCAATGATTTCAAATTCACTCTGTTATATAATACTTTTTTCCCTCTAGTATTGTTTGTAATAAGATATGCTCTTTTATTATACAGCCTTCAAGTATTTATTTTGCTAGTTGCTATATAAGGAATTTAATTCCACCACCACCCCCCCTTCATTCAAGAATATTATAAATAATCAGTTCGCTGAGCTTTACTTAAGCATGAATACATACAGGTGGTGTGAAGGTGTATACAAGCTGTATTTTCCATAAATATTTATAAATATATGTTTTAGTCATGTACTTCTAAAGTGCAAAGTATCTCAAAGGTAAAGTAGAGAATTTTTTTGAAACAGTTTCTACCAGTTTTCAGAAAGCTTTATAAGAATCAAATCTTAATTTTGTTTGATTCCTGTAAACCAAAAAGTCTAGTTTCTCCAGCTTCAGCTTAGTAAGTTTAATGGGAAAAAAAAAAAAAATCTGTAAATTTTTCAGTAAATTGTAAAAACTGATATATTCAGTATCAAGTGTATGCTGAATCAACTATAAAGAATTCCATGTAATACTATTATTTACAGCAGTTTTGAACTTGAATATACTACTTTTTCACAAAGCCATCTTGCAAGATGATGCATTTCATGCGAAAGCTGCATAAAAAAATTCAAGGCACTATTCAACAAAAAAATGGTGTACAAACCTTTTTTTAATGCTTATTAGTTTTAATTTTTTAATGAAGTTTAAAATTATTCAAACAAATTTAAGTAGGAATTACAAAGTTAAATTTCCTCCTTGTGTGGGGGGATGTGGTTTTTGTGTTTCATGACGCCTTCTGTAACTTTATAATTGGCTATATTAAATTATCAGGATCCAAGATTTGAGCAATTTTGCATGCGGAACATTTTGTACTTAGCATACTAAAACATGATGATAATATTAAATTAATATTTTGCTGTACAGGAGGCTGTATAAAATTAAGATTTTTTTTATTTAAGTACTCTTCTGCTTTTGAAGTACTGATATGTATGATTTTCTATAAATTTCTGTATCTTCATTCATTTGAGAAAAATGATACTTTGCAATATGTATGTGGGATTTGTATTTAAGGAAATAAAACAGTACTTTTTGGGAGGAGAATTGCACATTAAAAAAATGAAAGGAAAATTTGCTAAAAAATAACATTGATGTAGTATGGTGAAATATCTGTGGATTGCAAAAACTTTAATGAATGAATTTTGATTTCATTTCCAAAATCTACAGAATTTTAAAGAAGAGTGTGTATAAAGGCACAGACTTCTCTTAAAAATTCTATAGATGCTTAAAAGCATCTACTTAAAAATTTTAATCAAGGGGAAAATTGTAAATTTTCTTGATACATTTCTATTGAAAGGCAAGATTTCCATATAAATAACTTTCTTTCTCACCCCCCCCCACTGATGTTGAAGTATGCATAGATACTTAGTGTATTTAGTGTATGCTCTTAATATATTCCAACAATTACTAAAACCAGTTTCTGTCCAAAGCAAATTAACACTATATTATTTCTGGTCAGTGAAGTGAGCCATGTTGCTCGTAACTTAATTTTAAAAATGAATCATTTGTTTGCCAATATTTATACGAACTGTAATTGTTTCTAAAGTCTCATTCTTTTAAATAAGATTGCATAAAATATAATTTATGTGTTGTTTTAAAAAGTAATTTTATATGAATTTGTTACAGTTATTTCTCCAAATATTGGATCAATATTTTTACAATTTTTAGAAGAGACTGTGATTGAAAAACACAATTTGTGCCTATTAATTTTTGAATAGCTGATTGATGATTTTATCAATGAAAACTGATTAAGAGAAGTTCGAGTTGGGAACCGTAAGTTATTTTATGAATGGTATTCAGACAAAATGCTATATTTTATGCAGTAAATCCACTGTTTAATTTCATTCACTTACATTCTAAACAATTTTCCATGTTGAAGTGATGTTTGTATGATAAATATCTAAAACACTTTTATTTTATTAAGTGGAGTGTCAATCTATGATGTAATTTATTTAGGTACTTGAACACTTTTGTCTACATTGAGCTCATAGTCATTGTATAAAAAATATCATTGAAACAAATAGATATGCTTATTAGTCTGTTCAAAGAAACTTGTTTGTAAAATAAAATTGTTTTATTGCTGAATCAGTTTGAATTATTCCATAAAAGTTTTGTCTAAAATATTTAATTCAAAACATCAAACAAAATTTTAAAACTTCTGTGGAACTAAACAGAATATTTAGAAAAGGATTTATTTCACTTTCCTGTATCATTTAATTTCATGTGAGAGAAAGCTAATTGCAAGAATTAATAATATATAGTAGCCTAATGATATTCTTTATCTGGTTTTTGTTATATACTGTATTCTTCCCCACACACACTAGTAATTGATGTAAAAGAAATTTAAGGTTATTTATTATTCTTGGAAAATATTTTTAAAGTTCATAAGAACAAAACTCTAATAAAATGTGCAAGGATTCAGGTTCGCAATTTCCTGTAATTCTTTTATGTTTTATTGGTGATGAAATGATGTGGAATATTTTCTGAAGGGAAATAAATTTCAGCTTATGAATGAACTAGTAAAAAATTCTGAAAAATTGAGCAGTCTTGGTGCTGTTATGCAAGCATTGATTTTGTATTAATTTCCATATGGAATTATAATTTTCAAGTAAATGAAAAACTATTTATAAAGAATACTAAAAGACAACTTGATTGTCATAGTCATTTGAGTGCATGGAATTTAGAGCATATTTTGTCATTTTATCATTACAAGTAAAGAATCATTGCTTAAATTTTTCATGGTAATCTTATTTCAAAAGTACCCTGTGTTTAATAGGAAATAGAAATAAGTTCCTATAAAAAGGTAATAGTATGTCATTAATTCTTTTAAAGTTGATTGATTTATTTGCATGTCTACACTTTATGCCCGACCATTTCTGGGCTCATATTGCTCTGTTTTCAATTAAAATAATTTTTTTATGTCGAATTGCTGTCTCTTAACTGTTGGCATTTTGTCTTCCTTCATTTCTATACGATTTAAGAATATTGTCATTTGCTTTAGAAGAATTCGTAATATATTGTGCATTAAAATATTTGTAAAAAAGTAATAAAACAAACCTAGATTTTAAAAATGGAAAAATGGCTATGATTGACTAAGCTGAAAAAGTGATGGATCAAGGACAGTCTACTAGGACTAAAAATATTGAAAAGAAAATTTATTTGTAGAAAATGTAATTAAAGTTATTTATCATTTGGGTTTACTTGGAATGGAGATGAAATGGAACCTCATCCTCAGTATGTTGTTTGCAATAAACTATTATCCAATCAAAGTATGAAACCATCCTTTCTTTAAAGGAATCTTGAATCTAAGCGTGCCAGTTTAAAGGATAAATATGAAAAATATTTTGTCAGGAAGTTATTGGAGTTCAAAAATAGTAAATAAGTAATAAAAGGTTTTGTTACTTCTAGTGAAAAAGCTTTCAAAGTTAGTTATCCAGTAAGCCTAAGAATAGCCAAGACTGGGCAGGCTCACACTATTGGAGGAAACCGTATATTACCAACAACTAAAGATATTGCTTTAACATTATTCGATGAAAAAGTGGTTAATGAACTTAATTATATTCCGTAATAAAATGATATAGTTATTTAATGAATTCATTAAATAGAAAATTCCATAAAAGGGACCAAAAATGAAACAAAGTGAGCATTTCGAATTGCAATTGGATGAAAGTACAAATATCACTTTGTTCAATTATTAGTGTACATACATTTCAAAGAAAGTAAATGAATTGCCGAAGAGTATTTATTTTTCAAATCTTTTCATGATAGAGCGACTGCAAATGAAATTTTCAAAGTAATTGACAATTCTATGCCTGAGAAAGGTATTCCTTAGAATAAGTGCATTGCCGTACGCAGTGTCAGAGCTCAGGCTTTAAACAGGAAAGCATTTGGTGTAATTTTACAAATAAAGAAATTCACACTTGAAACTAAATTTATTCACTTCTGTATCGTGAAGCTTTAGTAGCTAAAACAATCCTCAAAAACCTCCCCCCCTTTTTTTTTTAAGATCAAGCTGGGAGAATTGTTTATTTATTAAAAACAGATCTGAAACCGAGAATATTTACAATTTTATGCCAACAAATGGGCAATGAACATGAAGCGCTTTTGTTACATTACAGTAAGGTGGTTATCTTTTAGGCAAAGTTTTATATTGTCTTTTGGAACTTCAATTAGAAATTCAGATTTTCCTCTGTGATTCAAAATGTGAATTCCAAAAATGTTTATTTAGTGAATTATGGTAGGCACATTTAGCTTATTTAACTGATAGTTTTGGAAAGTTAAATCAATTAAATTTAGGATTACAAGGACAATGTGTTACTTTGTTTACCATTAGAGATGAAATAAATGCTATGATGAGCTAATAATCAAAGAATTGGATAATAATATTTTAAGCTTTTTACCACTTTTAGAAAGGTTTCTAACTGAAAATAATTAAATAAAAAAAATTAGTATTCGATATTAAAAATCTCTTTTTTTTTTTGAAACATGTGTTTTCCCAAAAATTATGAAAAAGAAAATTGGATTAGAAGTTTTTTTTTTTTTCCCCCTCATTGTACTTTTTACAAGAATAAAGGTTTTGTGTGTTATCTTTCCTACTTTCATAGTAGTATTCTGAGTGGGTTCATACAAATTTTCAGTAGTGATTTTATTTAAATTTAAATTTTTGTTATTTTTTAATTTTGGAGGAATTTTTTTCACACAAAACTGCCCAAAGTATAAAGTACTTATGAGCAAAAGCTTGCACCTGATCAAAATGTAAGCAGAATGCACTGATAAATATCGATTGAAAAGTAGAGTACATACTAAACCAAAGAAATCTCTAATATTCTGGGACAAAATATATTTTTGCAAATGTTTAAAAACAGCCTAAAAAATTTATGTTAGGTGAAACTGCATGAAAGTCTAAAAAACCAAGGCTCTTCATAAGATCATAGGATATAGATCCAATCACAAAAATCTCACTGCCTCATTTAAAAACTTGTATGCTGTTCATCATAGTTACATCGCCATGGTATGATAAATTAACCTTTCCCCGGGGGCTGGGAGATATATGTCCCGCACGTTCACTACTTTAAATGTGTCTCAAGAATTTCATAACTATAAGTTAAAAATACTCTTAAATGGATTAGGAACTGCAAGACCCTGTTGATTTGTTTTTCTGTTCCTTTCGGTTAAAATAAGTGACTAAATGGCCAAAATACATTCGAAATTGGACCCTATAGCCCACGGGAAAAGGTTAACTGCATCTTGGCTCTTGAAGCTTCGTGAAAGAGCCAATATGGCTCGTAGGCTGAAAAGTTCGGAGACCCCTGATTTAGGTGATTGATGTGGAATTTGATGCTCATTTGCATTGCCATTGGCACAATGTGATGTATTGTTTGCTCTTAGTGCATGTTATGCATAAAGATATGGCATGCATGTGATACTTTTATTTTCAGCAATTTTTTTGGTGGTATAACTCTTTGAAAATTCACTAAATTAAGAAAAATAAAAACACACATATAATATAACTTTAAAAGCACATAATGAGAAACTTGAGACCATGCAAAAGGGGAAGGGACCAATCAAAAATAATTTTGTGTAGTATTTTTTAATTTATTTCTATTTTACTTAGTTAAAATTTAGTTTATTTTGAAATTTTCAAATTGGATTATGCAAGATATTGATTTATTTCATTAATACTGAACTCTAGCAAAGCCTGGTAAATGTGACTTGCATGACCAGATCAGATTGCTTTGCAGACAGATCCTTTGAAAACATTGCTATTATTTACTTACTTGTATAAAGTAAAGTTATAATCTCAAAAAAATTCTGGTATCATTTTTCAGTGGAAATATCCATTTTGATAATTGTTTTGTGTGACATTCATATATATAGACAGAATAAAGGACTCTTTTTTACCAAATAGAAATTCCCCCCCTTTTTTTTGTTATGTGTGTAACTCAAAACAATTAGTCACAGAATGTTCAAATTTTGTATGTTGGATTGCTATAACACCTAGTTGTGTACCTCCCTTTTTTATTGCAGTTAGCATTACCAAAAGCACTATTATTTCATTTTGGCATTTTGCTTTGATCATTTTTGAAATTGTTTCCACCAAATATTAAAGCCATGTATTATATTTAAAGAAATTAAATAATGAATAAATGTATGTATTTCGCATTGTGATAAAACAATGGTACCTAGAGCCATCAAATTTTGAATAACGTACGTTTCCACCCCAATATGGGTATCTGGAAGCCCAAATTTTGAATTTATGTTTTATTATATATTCCATGTTTTTTAAAGCTTTAACGAATGTTTGATTAACAAACTCAACAATTTCAAAGTGAACAGTGGCAACACTGTAGGGGGGGAAAGCATTTTTATCTCCAGCGCACGAGACTGTGTATCGGAAATTCTAAAGATATGCTCATTTTAAAATTATTTTGCAATATTGCTGGTGAACTGAAGTTTATGGTTTAAGTGCGAAGGACATGATATTTAATAAATAAAAGTAGCACACACACACAAAAAAAAAAAAAAACCACCTTCCGGCATTGTGTAAAATTTAAAAGCTTTTAGGGGGGGATAGTTTAAATTTTTGTTGGTAGAGGGCCCTGTGCAAGAGTTAATCACACATTTCAAGGGAGACTATATTTATTTGCATGCAGGCAAATCTTTATGGGCATATTACTCTTATTCTATGTGTTCGCCATCACCAGTTTTCAAGTGAGTTACAGTAATGTTAACTGCAATATGTAGCATATCCAAATGGATGCAAGAGATTGCGTGATGATGACACAAAATAAGATAGGCTGTTGCAGTACCCTCTAAACTTGACATAATTCCAAAACCAAAAATCAAGTGGTATTAATTCCGGGTGAGCAAGGGGATCACTCATTTCTACAGTGGCGGCTAATTAATTGCTCTTTGTTGAAAGTTCTTAGGAACATCTTCACTTCGTTTGTGATATGAAAGGCGCCCTGTATTAAATGAATGTCACTGTGTCAAGGACATTATGGGTGGTACATGTGGTATCACTTTCTCCTGCAGGAGTTGCAAGTAGCGTTTTCCAGTGATTCATCTCAGCGCCAACTTTTGCA